TTTCATAGTAGAAATATTGCTCCTCCCTCGTCCGTGGACGTAGGTCAATTTGACCGAACCACGTAAATCTTCTGTGTCTTTTATTTGCTTTGTTATCCGTCTTTATATGGTCGATTTTACCGCCTAATTATTATATGGTCGGTATCTACCGCCTATCTATTATATGGTCGGTTATACCGCCTACTTTGTTCTAACTTGAGTTTGTCTATTTCATAAGCCAGTCCAAACAAACTGGTATCAGAGTTGGTTGATATATTTTGCAAGACAGGTTCATCTCGTGGGGCCCGTTCATCTGGTGGGGTCCGTCCATCCTGTGGGGCCCACTCATCCTGTGGGATCCATTTATTCGTGGGGCCCGTTCACTTTATGGGGTCCATTCATCCCATGGGGCCCGCTTATCTCGTGGGGTCCGCTCACCCTGTGGGGTCCACTCACAAGACTTGCATATTTGTTTCGCCAGTTTTTTTTTTTAGACAAACTTCAAATTACAGATTTTGTGGCAACAATGACGATAACAAAGACGGTTGTCGAGAAATTCGACAGAAATGTCAACTTCGGCATGTGGCAGCTCAAGATGGAGGCCATTCTTGTTCAAGATGGAGTTGATCTAGCGATTCATGGAATCGAGAACAAACCAGAAGATGTAAAGGATGCGGATTTCGCTGATATGGATAAGAAGACTAGATCCAGCACAATTTTGAATCTCTCCGATGAGGTATTGCGTGAGGTAGCAACGGAGACTTCAGCCAAGGCTATGTGGGATAAATTGAAAGTCTTGTATATGAAGAAGACAGTCGAGAATCGGCTATATTTGAAGCAGAGTTTGTATATGCTTCGGATGTCTGAAGGTAAATCTATACTCTCCCATCTTGATAAATTTAATTCCATTATTATGGATTTGGAGAATATAGATTCGAAAATTGATGATGAAGATCAGGCTCTATTACTTTTGTGTTCCCTTCCCCAATCCTTTAAGTATTTCCGTGATACTATGATTTATGGAAAGGAAACAATTTCATATCGGGAAATTAAATCTGCACTAAAATCTAAAGAGCAGATAGATAGGGATATTACTGGGAAAACTAGTGGGAGTCAAGCCGATGGCTTGTTTATTCGGGGTAGATCTGAAAAGAGAAACACACAAAATAGAAGTAGATCCAAGTCTAGACATAAAAATGTGGTGTGCAACTATTGTAAAAAGAACGGTCATGTTATCTCTGATTGCTTTAAATTGAAAAATAAAGAAAAGCAAAAAGGAAAATTTGTTGAGAAAAATACTGAATCCGCTGAAGCTAGTATAGCAGCTGATGAGAATGATGGAACCATATTCTGTGCAACGAAAAATATTTTTAGGTCTAACAATGAGTGGATTTTAGATTCGGGTTGTTCGTATCATATGTGTCCCAATAGGGACTGGTTTTCAACATATGAATCAACTGAAGGTGGAGTTGTCTTAATGGGTAACAACGCCATTTGTAAAGTTGTTTGTAAAGGTACAATCCGGATTAAAATGTACGATGGTATTGTGAGGACGCTCACAAATGTTAGACATGTTCCAGATTTGAAGAAAAATCTCATCTCTTTGGGCACTCTTGAATCTATTGGGTGCAGGTATTCAGGTGGAGATGGAATTCTCAAAATTACTCGAGGTGCTCTTGTTGTTATGAAGGCACACAGATCTGGTACTTTATATATTTTGCAGGGATCTACTGTTACAGGTGCTGCTGCTGTTTCAACATCATCTTTATCAGATACAGACATCACCAAATTATGGCATATGCGTTTGGGCCTTGGGGCACATGAGCGAAAAAGGCTTGGGCATATTGAGTAAAAGAGGACTTCTTTGTGGACAAAGTACCGGGCCATTGGAATTCTGTGAACATTGTATTTTTGGGAAGCAGAAAAGAGTCAGCTTTAGTTCACCAGCAATTCACAAGATAAAAGGTACTCTTGATTACATTCATTCAAATCTATGGGGTCCTTCTCGTGCTCCTTCTAAAGGTGGTGCCAGGTACATGTTGACTTTCATTGATGATTATTCAAAGAAAGTATGGGTCTATTTTCTTAAACATAAAAATGATGTTTTCTTAATTTTCAAGCAATGGAAAGTTTTGATTGAGAAACAAACAGGAAAACATGTTAAGCGGTTGAGAACAGATAATGGCATGGAATTTTGTGAAGGTGAATTTAATGAATTTTGTAAGAATGAAGGAATTGTTCGGCATCACACCGTCAGAATGACACCTCAACAAAATGGTGTGGCCGAACGTATGAACAGAACACTTTTGAAGAGAGCAAGATGTATGATCTCCAATGCAGGGTTGACAAACGACTTTTGGGCAGAGGCGATCAATATGGCCTGTTATATTGTCAACCGTTCTCCTTCTACATCTCTTGATTTCAAAACTCCTGAGAAAGTTTGGTCAGGTACTCCTGCTGATTACTCCAATTTAAAAGCTTTTGGGTGTCCAGCATACATGCACGTGAATGATGGAAAATTGGAGCCCAGGGCTAAAAAGTGCATTTTTCTTGGATATGCTTCTGGGGTGAAAGGATACAGATTATGGTGTCCTGATCCCAAATCCCCAAAATTTGTAATCAGTAGAGATGTTACTTTTGATGAATTGTCTATGTTATCTTCCAAGAAGGAGTCTTCTAGTCCTTGTACTACTGATAGTACACAGAAGCAGGTGGAGCTTAATATTGGCAGTTCTGGTCCTTCTCAATCCAAATCTTCTATTCAGCAAGTGCCAGTAGATGCACCTGAATCTACTGTTGAAGATAGTTCAGAAGAAGAGGAGTATTCCATAGCCAAAGATAGAGCAAGGAGAGACATTCGACCACCACAAAGATATGCAAATTTAGTTGCATATGCTTTGTCTGGTACAGAAGAAACTGATGCAGTTGGTGAGCCTTCCACCTATTCAGAAGCAGTTTCTTGTGATGATTCTGCAAAGTGGTTGATTGCGATGAATGAAGAAATTGAATCTCTTCATCAGAATGAAACTTGGGTTCTTGTAAAGCCGCCGTCAGCTAAGAAAATTGTTGGTTGCAAGTGGGTTTTCAAGAAAAAGGAAGGTATTCCAGGGGTTGAAGATGCAAGATATAAAGCACGATTGGTTGAAAAAGGCTATAGTCAGGTACAAGGTGTTGATTTTAATGATATATTCTCGCCTGTTGTTAAACATAGCTCTATTCGTGTTTTATTTGCTTTAGTTGCCATGTATAATTTAGAGTTAGAACAACTCGACGTTAAGACAGCTTTCTTACATGGCGAACTTGAAGAACAAATTTATATGAGATAACCCCAGGGTTTTGAAATTGAAGGTAAAGAAGACCATGTTTGCTTGTTAAAGAAATTCTTATATGGATTGAAGCAGTCTCCAAGACAGTGGTATAAGAGGTTTGATTCCTTTATGTTGGGTCATGGTTATTTGAGGAGCATGTATGATAGTTGTGTTTACTTCCGGAAGTTAAATGATGGTTCTTTCATTTATTTATTGTTATATGTTGATGACATGCTCATTGCTGCCAAGAATTTATCAGAAATTCATACTTTGAAACTGCAGTTAAATAGTGAATTTGAAATGAAAAATTTGGGAGCAGTTAAGAAAATTCTTGGCATGGATATCAATCGAGATCAAGGAGTAGGGAAGTTGTTCTTGACCCAGAAAAATTACCTTGAGAAAGTCTTGGAGCGTTTTGGCATGAAAGATGCTAAACCAGTATCTACTCCTCTTGCTAGCCATTTTCGGCTATCTGCTGCTCAATCACCAAAATCAGATGAAGAGAAATATTATATGGCACGGGTTCCTTATTCCAGTGCAGTCGGCAGTATTATGTATGCAATGGTTTGTACTCATCCAGATATTGCACAAGCAGTTAGTGTTGTTAGCAGATATATGTCTTGCCCTGGTAAAGCACATTGGCAGGCTGTCAAGTGGATTCTCAGATACTTGCGAGTACTTCAAATGTATGCTTAGAGTTTGGAGGAAATAATAACACTTTGGTTGGTTTTGTAGACTCAAACTACGCTGGGGATTGAGCAGGTCGGGCCTGTGGGTTAACGTTGAGTTGGTGAATCATGAGTTCGGGTGGTACTCCGACCACTTCGTCTGCGGACCACGCGAAGACGTCTCGGTGGTTCTTGATCAGGGAGATCATTTCTTCTTTCAGAGGGGAGGGGAGTCCGGCCCCTACTTGGACCACTTGGTCAGGTTTCGCTTCATCCAAGACCACTTGTTCCACCTCATCCCCGGGCTCAAGCCTGCTGGGCTCTCCTGCCTTCTGAGGGTCGAGGCAGTCTATGGAGGGCGAGAGCCGGGGTTTGACTGCTGCTTGGATGGTGGCGAGGTAGCATTCTCGGACGGCGCCCACGTCGCTGCTCACCTCGGCCACCCCCGCGGTTGAGTTAACGTTGCTCACCTCGGGCTCTCCTGCCTTCTGAGGGTCGAGGCAGTCTATGGAGGGCGAGAGCCGGGGTTTGACTGCTGCTTGGATGGTGGCGAGGTAGCATTCTCGGACGGCGCCCACGTCGCTGCTCACCTCGGGCCTGTGGGTTAACGTTGAGTTGGTGAATCATGAGTTCGGGTGGTACTCCGACCACTTCGTCTGCGGACCACGCGAAGACGTCTCGGTGGTTCTTGATCAGGGAGATCATTTCTTCTTTCAGAGGGGAGGGGAGTCCGGCCCCTACTTGGACCACTTGGTCAGGTTTCGCTTCATCCAAGACCACTTGTTCCACCTCATCCCCGGGCTCAAGCCTGCTGGGCTCTCCTGCCTTCTGAGGGTCGAGGCAGTCTATGGAGGGCGAGAGCCGGGGTTTGACTGCTGCTTGGATGGTGGCGAGGTAGCATTCTCGGACGGCGCCCACGTCGCTGCTCACCTCGGCCACCCCCGCGGGTGTCGGAAATTTAAAACTCAGGTGGTAGGTGGAGTATACGGCTCTCAAGGCGTTGAGCGTGGGCCGGCCTATCAGCATGTTGTAGGGAGAGTCTGCTTTAACCACCGCAAAAACTGACAGGCACAGTTCGGCAGCGTGGATGACGCCCGATAGTTACCATCAGGGTCACCATGCCCTCCGGGTGGACGACGTGTCCCCCGAAACCGACAAGTTGAGTTCTGACCGGAGTGAGTTGCTCCCGGGTAAGTTTCAAGCTCTCGAAGGTTCGGTAGTACAGGACGTCTACCGAGCTTCCGGGGTCCATATAGACCTTTTTGACTATGTAATTGTTGGTGAGTACCTCAATCACGAGGGCCTTGTGATTGCTGAAGGCGGCGGGAACAGGGTCACGGGGACCGTAGGTGATCACTTCGGACAACCGGGAGCTCGGCTCGGCCGCTTCCATGCCGGCCTGGCGGTATGTCCGTTTTCTGGAGTTCTGACTATCTCCTCCCGTCGGGCCACCGGCGATGGTATTGATCACCCCGGCGATGTTTGGGCCGCAGCCTGGTGATCTGTCCCGTGGAGACCTCTGATCCCCCTTAGGTTCCTCAGGATCTCGGCAATGAAGTTTCGTATCCCGTCTGTCCTCTCGGCGAGGACCGCGGCTCTCCCGGTGGGAGGCGCTTCGGTTGATGGTTCCATCCTTGCGGACAAACTGCTTCAAATATCCCTGGCGGATCAGGTTCTCAATCTCTCGCTTCAGATCGTTGCAATCTTCGGTCTCGTGCCCAACATCTCGGTGGTAGGCACAATAGAGGTTGGAGTTCCTCCTATCCCTCCTCCCCGGGATCTCAGGAGTTCGGCCGAGGTGATTTTGCCTCATCACCGCCAAGACCTAAAACCGGCTGGAATTGAGAGTTTGAAGACACTCCGGCGGTCTCGGAGTTCGTTTGAAGTGCCACTTGGGCCTGATTCATTTCGGCCGGTGTCGATCTTGCCCCGTACGAGATGCTTGGGCTTCTCGCTTCATGCGATTTACATCTTCACTTCGGATTCCCTGGTCCACTCTTTCCCAGAGTTCCCGAAGTGTACGGGGGTAATCCCGATGGATTTCGGTGTTGAAAATCCCTGCCACTAACCCGTTGGTGAAGGCAGCGATGGTTACCTGCTCATTCTGATCAGGTATCTGCACATTCTCCTCGTTGAACCTTTGAGCATACGAGCGAAGTGACTCGCCCTGACCCTGTAGCAGGTTCAAGAGGTAAGCTGAAATCTTGGTAATGGGTCGGGACGACACAAAGCGGTGGATGAACCGGTCTATCAGCTCATCCAGGGAGGAAATGCTCCCCGGTTCCAAACTCCAGAACCACTTCCGGGCAGTCCCATGTAGGAAGATGGGGAAAGCCCGACAGATCACGGCGTCGGGGACGCAGTAGAGTCGGAATGTGGAGATAAAGGCGCGGAGGTGATCCTCGGGGTCACCTCGGCCGTCATAGGTGTGCAAGTTTGGAAGCTTAAAGTTCGGGGGCATCATTTCCCCATTGATGTCATCAGTGAAGGGCGGAGCTCTCATGTAGTCAGAAGCTAGGCCCCCGGGGCGCCGAGGTGGGACCTCGGCCCATTTTCCTAGCAGTCCCCGGGAAAATGCTCGGGAGATGGAGGCAAGTTTAGATGTCGCCTTGAAGGAGGCGCGCCTGGAGGTACTCCGAAAGAGACGCCCCTTGAGGATGGTCATTTCGGCTCGGACAATCCGAGGCCTTATTCAGTGGTATCTCCTGAAGATCCACCTCGGCACGTTACTTCTCGAGGGGTTCTCACCTCTTCTACCACCTCGGCTAGATTTCTCAGGCCGTTGGCCGAGGTGACCCCTAACCAACACAACTGTGAGAGGTCGGAAATGACACTTGACACATCTGACATCTGACGGACGCCTGCTCTGACACGTCGCCTGAATCTGGCCAGATGTCCCATCAGATCCTTTCATAAAGACCGGTCACGTCCACCGGATGCACTGACAATCTCAGAACTTTCATAAATACTCAACACCTCTACTGAGGAGGAGGATGACCAATTTTCTGGTAACACTGCCTATACTCATTTCATAAAACTATCCTCTTATTCCCGAACTGACTTAAGTTTCGGAGTTACACCGGGGGATCAAGCCCCTCTTGTGACTTAGGCAGGTGACCTCGCCGCAAGTGACACACTAAGGAAAGGAGGAATCTTCAGTCCGGTGAATTCACTTCAGCCGGTCAGAACACTCCTCTTCAATTGGCGCCGTCTGTGGGAACGTGCAGTCATCAGAACATGAAGCCTACGCGTTCTAAGAGCAGGAAAGCTCTCACTATTGGGGCAGAGCAGAGCAATGCAGCTCAGCAGGAAGACATTTCTGAAGGGCAAGGGTCCCCAAGGACCCAGCCCGCGAACGAAGAAGCCATATCCCGTATAGCCGAGTTCGTGACAGAGAACCCCCAACATTTTTGAAGAGTTGGGGAAGTACCTTAAGAGGCAAGGCAAGCAGAAAGCCGAATCCTCCAAGAGAAAGTCAGATGGATCTCCTGAGGAATCCTCTGAGGAAGAATCTGATGGGAGGCGCCTAAGCCGGAGTGCTTCTAAACGGGCGTTCTCTAAGGCCACTTCTAATGTGGCTTCCGTGACCAAGGCGTTTTCCCGAGGGCTCTTGGGGCGGCGACCTGAGGAAGAACCTCGGCCCTTGGGAATACCCGGGGTGGACTGCATGAGTGCTCCACCGTTTACGGATGATATCAACGAGGAAAGGCTTCCTCCCAATTTTAAGCTCCCCGCAGTACCACCTTACGATGGCCGAGGTGATCCTGAGGATCACATCCATGCCTTCATATCGGCCTTCCGCCTACATTGCATCCCTGACCCTATCATATGCCGGGCCTTTCCAGTATTCCTCCGGGGGACAGCTCGAAAATGGTTCTGGGCCTTAGAACCTAAGAGCATCTCGACCCTGGGTGAATTAGTGGAGAAATTTCTCCACCGGTTTGTCTCCTCCCGACCTACGACCAGGACCTCGACTTACCTACTAACCGTGCAGCAGAACCCGGGGGAGTCACTTCGATCGTATGTCCAGAGGTTCCATGAAGAAAGCGTTCAGATACCTGACCCAAACGAGCAGATAACCATCGCCGCCTTCACCCATGGAATCGTTGCCGGGGTGTTCAATACGGGGATCCACAAGAAGTATCCCCGCACACTGCATGAGTTGTTGTTGAAGGTCGAGAAGGGTATACAGGTCGAAGACCTCAACCGCATGAAGAAAGAGGTCCAAGCCAACCGCCCAAAGGTCGACCCCCGAAAGGGAAAAGATGCCGGCCGAACTGAGGCGGGGACAGGGAGTGGCTTCCAAAGTCCTGGCCGAAATCGCCGAAGCGTATTTGACAGGATATCCAAGGGGAAGTCACCCATTCCCGAGTTCGAGTTGACTCCTTTGAACGCTACCCGATCTCAAGTGTTGTCCGTAATGGAACAAAACAATCTCGGAAAAGCCCCACCTAGGATGTACGGAAGCAGAGACAAGAGGAACTCGAACCTCTACTGCTTATATCACCGTGACATCGGGCACGAGACTGAAGACTGCTATGATCTCAAAAGGGAGATCGAGAACCTCATCAAGCAAGGGCACCTCAAGCAGTTCATCCGCCGAAGTGGAGGTCACAACCGTGATGAGAATCGACGTGACAAGCGAGATGACCCACGCCGAGACGAGAGGCGAATGTCAAGAAGCAGTTGTAGACCCCGAGGATCCTAGGGAGACAAAAAGGCCTCCCGGAGACGGATCTTCAGAACAGGGGTTAGGTTATGGGCCCAATATTGCCGGAGTCATCAACACTATTGCCGGAGGTCCGACGGGAGGAGATAGTCAGAACTCCCGGAAGAGGACCTATAGGCAAGTTAATCCGGATCAGGCTGAGTCGAGCTCTCGCCTATCCGAGGTCATTTCTTATGGCCCCACTGATCCTGTTCCAGCCGCCTCGAGTAGCCATGAGGCCTTGGTGATTGAAGTGCTCACTAACAATTACATTGTGAAGAAGGTCTACATTGACCCAGGGAGCTTAGTGGACGTCATGTACCTCCGCACATTTGAGAGCCTCCAGTTGGCTAGGGAGCATCTGACCCCGGTAAGGACCCCTCTCGTAGGGTTCGGGGGACACATCGTGCATCCCGAAAGGATGGTGACTCTGACAGTCACTGTGGGGCGTCACCCTCGCTGTCGAACTATCCCAGTTAATTTCGTGGTGGTCAAGGCCGACTCCCCATACAACCTACTCTTGGGGCGGCCTACGCTCAATGCATTGCGGGCCGTGTACTCCACATACCACCTCAACTTCAAATTTTTCACCCCCGCGGGAATAGCCGAGGTCAGCAGTGATGTCTGCGCAGCTCGGGAGTGCTACCTTGCCATCTTACAAGCAGCTTCCACATCGACTTCCGATGTGAGGACCGAGAAGAGATCAAACATCCTCTCAATAGATTGTCTTGATCCTCAGCCAACTGAGAAGATTCCGAGGCTAGAGACTGGGAATGAAGTCGAGGAGATTTCTCTAGACCCCACGAAGCCAGACCGGACAGTCCGTGTCGGCACCCGACTGCCCGGCCCGATTAAAGGAGGCATGCTTACCCTCCTCATAGAATACCGGGACGTTTTCGCTTGGGCCGCGGAGGAGGTCCAAGGCCCGCACCACCTCATGCTACACGAACTGAACGTTGACCCCCAAGCACGCCCGGTCAAGCAAAAAAGGAGGCACCTCGGCCCCGGGCGTAGCCGAGCTGTTGGAGAAGAAGTGGACAAGCTTCTGCCTGCCCAGATAATCCGGGAAGTCCAGTATCCGACCTGGTTGTCCAACCCGGTCATGGTAAAAAAGGACACCAGAGCTTGGAGAATGTGCGTCGACTTTACCGACCTCAACAAAGCCTGTCCCAAAGATTGCTACCCCTTGCCTAAGATCGACACCCTGGTGGACTCAGCAATGGGCTATGAGGTCCTTTGTTTTCTCGACGCGTTCAAGGGGTACCATCAGATCGGAATGAGTGAAGAGGACCAAGAGAAAACGGCCTTTTACACAGACCGAGGTATTTATTGCTATACCACCATGCCGTTCGGACTGAAAAATGCCGGAGCCACGTATTTGACCAAGCGTTCAAGTCCCAGATCGGACGGAATGTCGAAGCCTATGTGGACGATATCCTTCTCAAAAGCCAGAAGACCTCAACTTTCCTGGCCGACCTGAAAGAGGTCCTTGACGTCCTCCGAAAAACCCGAATGATGCTAAACCCCAAGAAGTGCATTTTTGGGGTCACTTCGGAAAAATTTTTGGGGTACCTCGTCTCAAGACGGGGTATAGAGGCAAATCCTGATAAGGTGCAGGCCATTCAGGAGATGTCCCCACCTCGGTGTATCCGTGATGTACAAAGGCTCACGGGACGACTGGCAGCTCTGAACCGATTCTTGTCGCAGTCGGCAGCCAAGGCACTGCCCTTTTTCAAGATTCTGAAGAAAGCTGACAATTTTTCCTGGACCGAAGAGTGTCAGCAGGCATTTGAGCAGCTCAAGAACTACCTTCACCACCTCCCAACGCTCACCTCGCCTCGGCCCGGGGACAAGTTGGTATTGTACCTCTCTGCCGCGGTCGAGGCCGTGAGCGCCGTGCTCATAAGGGAGGAAGGGGTACAAATGCTCGTCTACTATGTAAGCCGGGTCCTCCGAGGTCCCGAGACCAAGTACACCCTAGTCGAGAAGCTTGTGCTGGCCTTGATTCATGCAGCCCGCAGGCTCAAACCTTATTTCTTGGCTCATCACATTTGCCTGAGGACTAATCAGCCACTCCGGCAAATCTTGACCCGGCCAGAGGCTTCGGGACGCCTCACGAAATGGGCTATCGAGTTAGGAGAGTACGACCTATCATATGAGCCCCGCACAGCCATCAAGGCCCAGGCCCTTGCGAATTTCTTAGCCGAGCTCACATTTGATGAGGTGAAGGAGCCCACCCCAGCTACCACCCCGGTCACCGCTGACCCTCAGCGGTGGATTCTGCATGTGGATGACTCATCTAACAGCCAGGGTAGTGGAGCAGGATTGCTCCTCGAAGACCCCCAAGGAGAGGCGTGCTCATACGCACTGAGATTTAATTTCGCTGCTTCTAACAATGAGGCCGAATATGAAGCAGTCATTGCCGGCCTGCAACTAGCCCGTAAGCTTGGAGTTGCTCACATCTTGGTCTACAGTGACTCCCAGCTCGTCGTGTGCCAAGTACTGGGAGAATACGAGGCCAGGGAAGAGGTGATGCATCGTTACCTCTCTAAAGTCCTCCAGCTGGTGGCACACTTCGAGTCCTTCAAAATCCAAAGGATACCGCGGTCCCAAAACAGGAGGGCTGATGCCCTCTCCCGGCTCGCTTCCACTTCCTTTTCTGACCTGAACAAAACGGTCCTTGTAGAAGTATTAGCCGAGTCAGGGTACGAAGAAGAGGTCGTGTATCTCGTCTACCCTGGAGACACCTGGATGGGACCTCTGATCCGATTCCTCAGCCGGGGAGAGCTCCCCGAGGACCGAGTTGAGTCGAGAAAGCTACAACGTAAGGCAGCTCGGTACGCTATCCGGCAAAATCTCCCATACAAAAGATCTTACCTCGGCCCATGGCTGCGGTGTATCACGCCGGAAGAGGGGGAGAGGATCCTTCAAGACATACATGAGGGACTCTGTGGTGCTCACGTCGGCTATAGAATGCTCGTTAAGAAAGCTTTATTGCTCGGGTATTTCTGGCCCACCATGAGGGTGGATGCTCAGGTCATGGTCCTTAGTTGCCCCTCTTGCCAGCATCATGCCCCTGAGCACCACCAGCCGACCAACCTCATGATCCCTATCACCTCGCCATGGCCATTCGAACAATGGGGAACTGACATCATTGGTCCATTTCCTAGGACCCCAGGCAATCATGCCTACGTGGTGGTAGCAGTGGACTATTTCACCAAATGGGTCGAAACCGAGCCCCTGAGGACCATAACCGGTTCGGCAGTCCAGAAATTCTTCTGGAAGAACGTGGTTTGTCGCTTCGGCCTACCCCGTGTGGTCATCTCGGATAACGGCCGACAGTTCGCCGACAATCCCTTTAAGGTGTGGTGCGAAAAGTTGGGGATCAAGCAGTATTTCACTTCGGTTGGACACCCTCGGGCAAATGGACAGGCTGAAAACTTCGACTGCACCCTACTCCATGGCCTCAAAACCAGGCTGCACCGAGCTGGGTCATCATGGATGGAAGAACTGCCTAGTGTTCTGTGATCCTATCGAACCACCCCGAGGTCAGCAACTCAGAAGACCCCCTTTTCCTTGACTTATGTGTCCGAAGCCGTCGTTCCCGTCGAATTCATCACTCCAAGTCCACGAATGGCAGCGTACGCAGCCGAAGTCAACGAGGAGGAGCGGCGAGTTGACCTCGACCTTGTCGAAGAGAAACGTGATATGGCCGCTGCCAAAGTTGCTATCTACAAGAATATCCTAACTGGTTACTACAATGCTCGGGTCAAACATTTACGATTCAATCCGGGAGGTCTCGTGCTCCGGAAGAACTCGGTCAGCCGAACTGAACCGCAGGGTAAATTAAGTCCCAAATGGGAGGGACCCTACCGTGTTGTTGAGTCCAGCCAAAATGGATATTGTAAACTGGTATACCGAGATGGATCTCGAGTACCTCGGAGCTGGCATGCCGAAAATCTTAAGTTGTATCACCCTTAAAGGGTACGTGTTTTAATTCTAAATCTTCAAGTTATTTTCCACTTATTCACATTTCATCACAAGTGAAAAATAAAGGGACAAAACAGTAATAAAGAAGACCGAGCTCAATGAAAAAGAACTCAAAAATCATTGTATTGATAAAAAAGCCAAGTACAAAAGTGAAAGGCCGAGGTCATAGCCTCGGCCATCAATTACAAAAAGAGTGCTTCTAGGCACTTCCTGCCCCGGGGTCCTGCTCCCCCATGGTCTCGCTACCAGCCTCGGCGCCCCCCGCCTCAGCGTCCTGCTCTCCCTCAGCTCCTCCGCCGGTCTGATTCCCCTCCAGCTCGTCGCCATTCAGCTCAAACTCTTGGAGCCATTTGTTGAACTCAGCCCGCACCTCGGCTAAGTCCCTTCCAGCTCGGATGCCCTCACCCATGCGGTCGCACAGTTCTTTGGCGTCCTCGTTATAGTGCGGAGCATTTTGGAGGGACTCCAGCTGTTCAGAAGAGAGGAAGGGCGTGGCATCATTGACAGCCGAGATATAGCCCAACATAAAGCTTGGGCGGGAGAGCTCGCCGAGGTCGCGATTGAAGGCCTCCGACGTCCGGAAGGCCTCCACGGCAGTGGCCCCGGCCTTGTCTATGGCCTCCTTGGCCGACTGCTCTTCTTGGGCTCTTCTCTCCTTCTCCTCCTCAAGGGCTGTCACAAGGGAGTTGTTGGCAACCTCGGTCTTCTTCTTTGCCGCCTCGGCCTTGTCTCGTCCCAACTCAGCGGCCTTTAGCTTTCCTTCCAGGTCGGCGATCTTCTTTTTGAGCTCTTCAGGAGATTCATAGGTTTGTATGAAATCCCCGAAGCGTTGGTACATCTCGGCAAAGAACGCCGTGCTGGCCGCCCATGAGACCAAGGCGCTCTGCATCAGCTCGGCGGGAGTGAGCTTTCTAGTGTAAGTGTTGTCCCGCAGCAGGACCGAGTTCGCCAGCAGCTCATGCGCGACTTCGGGATCCTTGCAGCGGTCATTAACACCGACCCCCCACTCCGGACACCAATGCCATCCGGGGTGCCTTTTATCCTCCTCAGCCTCCTTCGAAGAAACGTGGTGGAGGTTGAACAATGAAGACCCCGAGACGGGGTTACCCGTGGAAGCAGACGCCGTCCTGCCCCAAGGTGAGGAAGCAATTGTGACACCCCGGGAAGGAACCCCCACTGGAATGGTTGAGGCTTTGGACCTCCCCGGCGTGGCCGTGGTGCCTGAGCCTTCCCCTATGATCACCACGGTTGGCTCGCGGTCGCCCGTTGCCGTGGTGGTTTTCTTGACCGGCCTGGTGGAGGGCCCATCACCATCCTTGCGTTTCTTGGGTGCCCTCTTCACCACCTCGACATCTCCCGAGGTTATGAGGTCGGAAATCTTCGTCACTGCAAAGCACAAGGAAGAGTTAGTTAGAATTTAAGAAGGGTAAACAAAAAAGGGGAAATGGACAAGTACAAGGTCTATGGAGCCTAGAAGACAAAATGACGGGGTGGCCCGGGCTGATCAGGGCTCGGCTGAGCCCGCCCTTCACGAGCACCACTTCGGGAAAGTCCCAACAATTAATTCTGAGGCCTGACCCCGTCAACTTTCTGAAGTTGCGTTCTTCCAGTTTGCCCGGGGACACCTCTTTCACCGAGGTGGGAGGCCTCCACCAGAACCCTCGAGGGAAGTCCTCAGCCGGGATGAAGACGAAGTTCCTCTTCCACTCCTTTATCGAGCTCGGAGCGTCTACTACCAATTTCGAAACTTTATTCCCGAAGTAGAACCAACCCTTCTCACTCCCGCTGTTCTTGAGTGAGTAGCAGCGGCGGAAGAGGTTCACGTTGGGCTCTATTTCCTGATGTCGGCACAGCAGTTGGAATCCGACAAGGACACGAATAGCATTAGGGGTGAGCTGAGTAATCCTCACCCCCCAGTACCTCAGGCAATCCCGCAGGAACCTCGTCGTGGGTACCCTGAACCCGGCCTCCACCTGCTCCACATAAATGGCCACCCTTCCCCTTGGCGGCTGTGCGGCTGATTGGTGCGGTTGGGGCACGTAGATACTGTAATCCCTCCTCTAGGGATATCTGCGAATCACTTCGGTTACTGAAGCTTGTTTCATGCTCTACTGAAGTTGGGCATCTGACCATAGTTCAGTGTAGACAGGTTCGGAGGAAAGGACGGCTCCTGGGCACCCTCATCCCGGGGGACTTCGTTCCCGAGGTCATCGTCGTAAACGACCTCGCCTTCAACCTCTATCTCCTCGGCCTCGTCCCCGACCCGCTGGGACGCCTCGGCCTCGCCCCCAGCTCGGTGAGACGCTTCAGCTCCTCCACCTCCAGCTTCGGACGCGGTTTCTTCCTCGGAGGGGTCAGACCTCTCCGCCTAGGTGAAATCTGGCCTAACCGTCTCTTTGTGCGTACGAGCTGTTCTAGCCATAATATCAGAAGAAAAGGAAAAGAAGTGAACTTACTTAGAATAGGTGATTCAAAGGAATTGCCGAAGATGTGGTTCAGAAAGATTGCCGAAGTGAAAAGAGAAAGAAACAGAGCTCTGGGGTGATTTTCAATTTTTGATAAAGAATGAAACGGTGAAAATGGACCTCTATTTATAGGCATCCAGGGAGAAGGTGAAGAGATGCGTTCTCTCTCTCCTCATTAATGAAAAGGCTGTTCGCTTGCCCGCCAAACTCGCGCCCGTTCAGACTGATAGCCATCACGTCAATTCTTCAGTAGTCTCATCCACATGGTCATGATTACTGTACCTCGTGTTTTACGCGCATATCAGCTTCGGGGAAGTACCGACCTCGGGAAACCAAGATCACCTCCCCGAAACTTGGGGGGCTTAGTGAGGATGGTCATTTCGGCCCGGACAATCCGAGGCCTTATCCAGTGGTATCTCCTGAAGATCCACCTCGACACGTTACTTCTCGAGGGGTTCTCACCTCTTCTACCACCTCGGCTAGGGTTCTCAGGCGCTGGAGGTGATAGTGGGTTGGGGTAAGGGAGGAAGAAGAAAAAAAAAATTTTATGTGTTTTGAGTATTTTGAAATGTGTAGGTAAAAAATTTTGAAAAATTTTGAAAAGTTTCTGTAGCAAAAGTTGTTAAAAAACTAGTAGCATACAAATTTACAAAAAACTTAAGGTTCCAAACAGGCCCTAAGTAATTTTATAAGTATAAAATTATATATATTTAAATATACCTAAACTCGAAAAGCTTGCAAGTTTATCGAGCATAACATTTCTAGCCTCAAATTTAATTCATTGAAATATTCAAATAGTTCGAGATCGACTCAAGCTCGATTTAACCGAACTCAAACCGATCATTTGATCGAGCTCAATTTGTTGACACCCTAGTGCACGTAGAGCATCCTCATTTGCGCTTCTTGAAGTGAAGACTTGAGCCTTTGGTGGTTCTTCATCAGTGTCCCTATCCCATAAACTAAATGAACAAAAATTCGGCCTTTCTACAACAAAAAGGAAAAACTAATTGTGTAATAAAAAAACTCAACTTTCATCAACCACACACGGTAGGTAGATTTGATGATTAACTATGTAAATTTAGTGTTACACATTGCATAGCAATTGTGTACTTCAAATAAAACCCCAAAGCCTTTCATCTACCACACTGCAGATAGGTTTGGTGACGACTTGCGTCGATTTTTTGCAGCAGTGTTCGAGGAGGACGAGGAGGAGGACACTGAGGGAGACCTCGGCGCGATAGTGGGCGAAGTGCCTGGAGGAGATGAGTTTCACCCCGGGGGGGAAGAGACCAGTGAGAAAGCTGCCCAAGAGGGAGCCAAGACCGGGGATGGAGTCGAGACGGGGGTCTAGGCTCGTGGGCCTCAAAGGGGTTGGCCGAGGTGGAGAGTGTTTAGTAGCATTCCGACCTTGGCCTTATACTTTTTGTAGCACCTTTTTTCTGTTGAATGAAAGTTTATTTCTTCTCATCTCAGCACTTTAATCTCTTATCTTGATTTCTTCCCTTGCTTGTCCCCCTTATTTTTTAATAGCGTAATGTCGATGTTGAAAAATAACATAACATCCGAAGTCATAACTTGATTAAGAATTCAAGCATAATACAATTTGAGATTCTCGGCGTGCCAAGACCTCGGCACTAATGAGCCATCTCGGTAACTCAGTTTACAATATCCCTTAAGGTCAGATTCCATAACTCGGTAAGGGCCTTCCCATTTCGGGCATAGTTTCCCTTGCGGTTCAGCTCGGCTGACTGAGTTTTTTCTAAGAACCAAGTCTCCAGGGTGGAATCTACGGTGTTTGACGTGGGCATTGTAATAGTGTGCCAGTGTGTTCTTGTAGGAAGCTATCCGGGCTGAGGCGAGGTCCCTTCGTTCTTCGACGAGGTCGAGATCCAGCTGTCTCTCTTCGTCGTTCACCTCGGCTGCATAGGCTGCCAGCCGAGGACTGGGGGTAAGGATTTCGGCAGAGATGACGGCCTCGGCGCCGTAGGTCAAGGAGAAAGAGGTCTCTTGCGTGGCGGATCTCGGTGTCGTCCGGTAAGACCACAGGACACTTGGAAGCTCTTCCACCCAAGA